TAGTTTTGTTAAGGAAGGACCTTAATCTTGTGATTTTTGTTGGAGATCCAACATGTGGTGTGATCCCTAGTTACGCCACAAGGGGGCACTTCCGCCCCAGTGAGATGGTTTAGTGTGACGCTACTGCTCGTTTTCAGATCTGGCAGAAGCGAGAGAGGAAACACACTACCTGTCGTCCATCTCATGATTTATCTGTTTTTTTCAGGTTAGTAAGTAATAAGGCCACACATTTGGTCCACATAATTTATATGACAAATAAGGGTAAAACCCAACCAGCAGTTTGTTTTGCTGAGATCTGTATTCGTCTGTTTTGCTCATTGAAATGTATTACGATCGAGAGTAGGAGCCACATCCTGGAGTAGCTGTCGGCTTTGTTGTTTTCTAAACTTAAGGCACCCTCTTGTAACAAAAGTACACCACGGCTCCTGTATATTTGAGTTAATGTGTTCGCAGAGACAGTTTGATGTGTTGTCACTGTTATTGTCTAAAGTTAGTGTAATAACCTATAAGAATTCTGATCGCTCTGCAATGTTGATGTGGAGATTTCCACTATACAGATACGCCATTACTATATGGTACAGTACTGGAATGTTTGCTTTATCAAACTATGTGTGAAAAAAGTGTGATTTATAGCTCTTAGTAACAAACAACAGAGATGACTGTTTAGATTTTTGTTTATAGTATTTTAGTTTATTCTGATTTTGGGCTTTGGGAATGTGAGACAGAGATGTTAAGAAGTTTTTGCAACCTGTTGTGAACGCATGAATGTGTTTAAATAAAGATCTGGCAGAAGCGAGAGAGGAAACACACTACCTGTCGTCCATCTCATGATTTATCTGTTTTTTTCAGAACCAGACATAATCTGTCAGCCGCCCTCTTGCTTGGGGTGTGTTACAGATAGATCTCACAGAAACAACTGAGATCTTTGTTTCAGTTGTTTCTGTGATGTACTGAAATATAATAATGAGCACTTCATTCGTTTCAAAGGCTTTTATTGACAATTGCATGACATTTATGCAAAGAGTCAGTATTTGCAGGGTTGGCCCTTCTTTTTCAGGACCTCTGCAATTCGACTGGGCAAGCTCTCAATCAACTTCTGGGCCAAATCCTGACTGATAGCAACCCATTCTTTCATAAGCATGGAGTTGTCAGAATTGGTGGGTTTTTGTTCGTCCACCCGTCTCTTGAGGATTGACCACAAGTTCTCAATGGGATTAAGATCTGGGGAGTTTCCAGGCCATGGGCCCAAAAGTGTCACTTTTGTAGTTATCACTTTTGCCTTATGGCACGGTGCTCCATCGTGCTGGAAAATGCATTGTTCTTCACCAAACTGTTGTTGGATTGTTGGAAGAAGTTGCTGTTGGAGGGTGTTTTGGTACCATTCTTTATTCGTGGCTATGTTTTTGGGAAAAATTGTGAGTGAGCCCACTCCGTTGGATGAGAAGAAACCCCACACATGAATGGTCTCAGGATGCTTCACTGTTGGCATGACACAGGACTGATGGTAGCGCGCACCAAACAATCGGAAAGAGGCTTCATCGGGAATATGACTTTGCCCCAGTCCTCAGCAGTCCACTCACCATACTTTCTGCAGAAGATCAATCTGTCCCTGATGTTGTTTTTGGAGAGAAGTTCTTTGCTGCCCTTCTTGACCCCAGGCCATTTTCCAGCAGTCTTTGCCTCACTGTGCATGCAGATGCACTCACACCTGCCTGCTTCTATTCCTGAGCAAGCTCTGCACGGGTGGCACTCCGACCCCGCAGCTGAATCATCTTTAGGAGACAATCCTGGCGCTTGCTGGACTGTCTTGGATGCCCTGAAGCCTTCTTAACAAGAATTGAACCTTATCTTGAAGTTCTTGATGATCCTATCAATTGTTGATTTAGGTGCAATTTTAGTAGCCACAATATCCTTGCCTGTGAAGCCATTTTTATGCAATGCAATGATGGCTGCATGCATTTCTTTGCAGGTCACTATGGTTAAGAATGCAAGAACAATGATTTCAAGCATCACCATCCTTTTAACATGTCAGGTATGCCATTCTAACCCAAACAGCCTGACATAATGATCTCCAGCCTTGTGCTCGTCAACATTCTCACCTGAGTTAACAAGACGATTACTGAAATGATCTCAGCAGGTCCTTTAATGACAGCAATGAAATGCAGTGGAAAGGTTTTTTTGGGGATTAAGTTAATTTTCATTGCAAAGACTATGCAATTCATCTGATCACTCTTTATAACATTCTGGAGTATATGCAAATTGCTATTATACAGACTTCAGCAGCAACTTTTCCAATTTCCAATGTTTATGTAGCCTAATTCTCAAAACTTTTGGCCACGACTGTAGTGAGGAGGTAAAATTATTAACAAGATGATCGATCTGTGATGATTATGCCATCTCAAGGGCAACAGAAGCAGTAATCTTCAGAGACATGAAACACGGGACCTTCCCTGCTGAGTGCTAGGAGCAAAAACTCCTCCTCTCCCCTTACCAGGAGCTTCTGCTGTTGACCACTAGATGGCAGGCTTTCGCCATGAGCAGGCCAGGAATAAGCATGTTTGTTGACATATCAATTCAATTACTTACAGCATGAATGACTATGACCCATCCTATAACAAACTTATAGCATACTGCAGAAATAAACCAAGGTACAGAATACTTACTGTAGGGTCTGACAGCATTCCAAGCCATGCAACCTTCCCGCCACTAGTATGTCATGTTGCTGGGCAAAATATGATCTTCTGTCAATTTTATTTATTATTCCAAATTTATTATACAATACACACCTTGGCCCAGATTAAATCATGAAATATTTGATTTGATGTATCAAAAGAGACATTTGAACGCCCGAACTCACACTGTCACTCTGGTTTTGTATGTCCATGTGACTGGTGTAGAGTTTTTTAGGGTCCACATTTAACCCACCAGCTCCAACAATGTGGGGAAAGCCTCCAAACCAGCACATCATACCTTGACAGCAATACGGACCCAAAAGCAATCAAGGAGCTCTCCAGCCTTAAGGAAGACGTACACTAATCATAATGCATGCAGAGAGAGAGGGCATTGGTGGAGAGAGTGTCCAAGAGGACAAAGAGGCACCCAGCACTGGATGGGACAACCTAAATTGGGACCATAACGGGAGGAAGCAATTCCCTGAAAGGATAAAGAAAGGAAAGGAAGAAGATCCCTTCACAACCACCAAGCAAGCCAACTCAAGTTGCAGCTCTTGCCTCTCCTGATTATACTGAATTATCTTAGTTGGATGTTTCTGACAAAGGTGGCGTTGTAATTGCTGTTCTTTTCCACAAAAAGGAGGGAGGACAACATGTACAGATGAACTACACTTAAAAACAGGACAACATGAAAAAAACAGCAATAGTCAAGAAAAAACAGTCTCCAGCATTTTGATGCAGCCATACATCATCAATGGCACAGAAAGGATCAACTTTTCAGCTGGAAAAACCTTCAAAAAACACGAGTCGCATGACTGCGCTGACGTGGCCATAAAGGAAACCTGACTGGGACAGAGACGCTGGCAGGAGAGCAAATGTAACCTTTCAGGCCAAAGAGAAGAAACTTGCCAGATCTTCATCTGAATTATGCCAAGGAGGGTTAAGCGACTGTCACCAATTGATGTGGGCACTTCCTGTACCAGCAGCAGGTGTTGCACACAGCGTCTGCAAATCGGGAGCCACACTATAAGGACTAAATGTGGAGCCACAGGTTGCTGACCCCTGGTTTAACGTCTCCCATGAACTTACATACAAGTTCAAGTGCACATTCATACAAGTAAGTGACAGGAGTGCTCTTGCTACACTAAAGTGAGAAAGTGATATTACTATTACTAATGTGATATGATTAAAACATATCATTATTACAACTGACTGTCAGGAAATTATTTGGTTTTTTTTACTGTTTCTTTTTTAAACATTGTATATCTGTGAAGGCAATCAATGAGAGCAGGAATCAAAGTAACTGGAACTCACTTCATGTCATGGTGCTGGGTCGTTGACCCAGCGTTTTGTGTTTTGTGATTGTTTTCCTCTGTTCTAGTTATTCTGTGTCCTTCCCCCTTGTGTCCGGTTCGGGTTCTAGATTTCCTGTTTTGTTCTGAAGGTCTCTGTCTGTTGTCATTGTGTTCAGCTTGTCTCCTCCAGTCATCATGTGTATTAGGATCAGCTGTTCTTCCCTCCTGTGTGTGATTACCCGATTACCTTGTGTGTGTATATTTAGTGGGTGTCGGTCTGTGTTCGTTGTCGGCTCGTCTGTGTTTCATGGTGTCCTGTTCCTCGTCTGCGTCTCTGCCTCCCACCCCATTCATATGATCTCCGGTTTGTTATTTAGCTTTCCCAGTTTAGGTTTGTTCTGTACATTCTCTTCCCTCACTGCCTGTTTTTGCCACGCCACCACTTGTAAATAAACGTCACTCGAATCATCAGTCACTGCCTGCATTTTGGGTCCTCCTTTTCCTCCAACACCACACGGCTCACCCCGCCAGCCGTGACACTTCAGCCTGAAGTTCAGTGTTTTAATAGAGACTTTATTCTGAAAATATATTTTTTATGACAAGTGTACTGGTCATAAAACACATTTACAACATTAATTTTTTTTATTTAATTGCAACTGATCTGACAGTGACTTCAAATAATAATAAAAACGAAACTAAAAACAAACAGTACAGTAATTTGCATTTGACATTTAAGCCATATAACCATGATCAAGCTTCACACATTTTTGTTTCAGTAGTCAAAACCAAAGTGGTAGCTCATCCCTACACTTTATATTTTAGAGGATATAGTAGAAGACCTACTCTTCAAGAATTTGTTTATTTACTCCATTTCCCCAGAAAAACCCTCCATGAAAGTGATGCATACAAAAAATTATAATAACATAGATAAGTAAACAAATGTTGGTCAGACAAGTCTCAAAACTTGCAAGAAGGTTTTTCACAGTGAGTCTAGTGTGTGCGTGGAAGGAATCCGGTCTCTCTCAGCACTTTGTTCACAGCTGGTATGAAGTGGGCGCTGTAGCTCAACAGTCTGCCATCATAAATCAACTTGTCTTTTGTCAGGTTCTTTTGTGTGGGAATTCTGCAGAAAGCAAAAACAAGAGCAGCTCTTAAAGTAGAGTTCATAGTTTCCCTACATTAAAAGAGAGAGTCAATAACTGCTAAATAAAAATATATGAGAATTTTGCACCAGCAAACATGGTGGCAGAAGTTTACCTTACAGATAAAAGCACATTGATAAATTATTATGTTTTACAATTTGGTTAAATACAGCAAACTTTCCAAGTTGTAATGCGATTGGATTGTAAATACATAATATACAATTTTCATACAATCATGAAAGTCCATAAAGAAATAAAAGTCACTGCTCAGGAATAGACACAAATCTGTTGTTAAAGAAAGTGAAAAAGAAGCATTAGTGTGATCAACGTAAGGATTTAATCATGGGTGGATACAGTGAGACATGGAGGAATAAAATAACATTAAATGAGAAACAGAGTATCATGGGATTGGGAACAATTTTATTTGTTTTTGTAGCTACTAATGTGGAGGAATCGCTTCACTAAATTACCTTGTGTGGTACATCCGTGCTATGTTCCTGTCAATCCAGCACCAGCCATGCTGTGCGTTCAGCGCCCCGTGAACAGTTGTGGAAAACACTGCTCGAGGGTTGACAATGATCTTGAAGTTACTGTGAGTCTCCGTAAAGATCGACTCTTTGTAGAGGTGAGCCAAGATGTTCAGACCAGGAACATTCTTCCAGTCTGCTTGTGGTGGCAGAGTTTGGGAGGCTGGAGGAGGCAACATGAAATTGATGGGGAACACGTGATTCTCAAACCTGTAGCACTTGTTGGCACCATATTTCTTCTCCAGCAGCGGCAACAACTCTACCAAGCTGGCAACAGAATAACAAGACAGTTATATCATGTAAAACCACTTAAGCATCACACAAGCAGTTAAATCATGATTAATCATAGCAGGAAAGGTTTAAACACTTTCAAGAATGTGTTGGAACAGTAACTTCTCTTCTGTATTTTTCTTACAAGGAGCCTTTTTTTTTTTTAAAGTAGTCTTCATTAATGGCGCTCCAGGCTGAAGATCTTAAATAGTTCTTCTTTGGACATTCATTGGACATTTTCAGTTCAATCCTTGTACCCTTGTTGGTTGTTTGAAATATTAGCAGTCTGGTTGTTGAGTTGATAGAACCATTGTATTAAAAAAAAAATACCTGACACTTACTATAATGCCTCTCCCTTTATCCTTCCTTATCTTCTGTGGAACTAGCCAGATTCTGAAGTACTGTAAATATAACAGGACACCTGCCTTCCTTCCAGCCTACTTTAACCCTCGAGTATTAACTCTACAGATGATACTGCTAAATCTAAAGCATAAAGTCTGTTTTGAAAATGTAAGGAGTAAAAAGTATAGGTATTTGTTTAAAAATTTAGGGAGTAAGAGGGCAAATATTTTCATAAAACGTACTCTATATGCATTTTTTATGATTTTGCCTGTTGTATAGTGAACAACAACAAAGCTCGGAATAAGTATTCATCTCACATACCACTGAGGGATAGTTAGATTTCACACGTACGTTTATAGTTACATTTTGCATGTACATCTCTGAGGGTTATGTAATTTATGATTTTACCCATATTAGGAGCACTAAGTTTACATACATACATTGGCTGCACTAAACCTAGGCGTGTCTTAAAAGTTGCTTGTGCAGATCAAAGAGGAGATTGGGAATAGAAGAAGCTCCGAAACTAAGGCGGAGATCAGATTGACTGCAGAAATCAAACCAGGTTGAAGGTCGTTATACAGAAATAGCATAAGCAGGCTATCACTCCAGACATGACCTCCTTCTCTTTCAGGAAGTTGGCTACAGCTAACCGCTTGCAGACTGTGGTTTTCTGATTGAAGGAGAGTCCATGTCCATGTTTTATTTGAATTGCTTAAGCAAATAAGTCCTTAAAGATTGACTTGAGACTACGCCCCTCTTTTATCCCAGAAGAAAAGAACCCACAACAAGAGTAAAGGTTAAAAAGTTGTCAGAAAAACAAATACTCAAGTAGAGTATAGATAGCTGAATATTCTACTTAAGTACAGTAACAAAGTACTTGTACTTTGATAATTACTGTGATGGAAAATTTATGTGTTTAAATATGTGTATACTTAGTTGTGACACTGTAAAGGAAACTTTCACTGAAGAGTCTAAAACTAGATGAACTTGTTTCAGCCTCAGTAGTTGAAGAAAACAACTCCCTTTGCAGGTACTGATAATGCCAAGGGCACTAAACAACATACCTATTCCTCAGTTAGGTTTCATGGTGTACTGTGTGATGTGTGGTATGATCAGTGAGGTGTGAGAGCTTCACTTCTGTTTCAGAGACTGCATGATGCCACCTCGTTCTCACTCTTTCATGCGCATGATAATAAATAGTGTTGTTTGCAGCTGACTGTGTGTTTGGACTTTGTTAATTACATCTCCATTACATTACCACCTCTGGCGTGGACAGATTTGGTGAAAGCTAATAAGTCAGCTTATTTTTAAAGAAATGAAGTATTAAGTAGCGCACGACCGAACAGTTAAATGAAAACTTATTCCCGAGTTTGATTAGCTGTACTTCAAATGAAGAAAGATGCCAAACGTTCACTGAACGTAAGGAGAACCAGTTCTCACACAGGTACTACGGTGTACATTTTAGGACATCCTCAGGTCTCAGACAAAAAGCTGTCACGTCTCAGGTCTCAGAAAAACAGCCCTCAGGTCTCAGAAGCCTCCTGCAGGTGGCGCTGTTGTCAGGTCCCAGCCAGTGACTGTAGAAAACATGGATGACGCGACAGCACTTCTTCCAATTGTACAAAAATAAAGCTAAATATCCCGCTTGTGGAGGCTGCCATGTTGCATTTTTGAAAACAGAGTCTACACAGTAGTGACTTGAGAGTAGTGACAGAAGTCCTAGACTAGGCAAACGTAGTAAAACCATACCGGGGTAGAAAAACACACAATGCTATCAGTCAATAATTGGACTCCCGACATCTTGAACCTCAAGATTATTTGAAGCACTTTGGGATCATCTTGACAGAGATCCAGAATATAAGGCAGCAAACATCCAAATTAGAGCTTTGGAATATCTTTCAAAAAGCCTGACGAATTATTCTTTAAGACTACTTTAAACAAAAAGGATAAATACTGACTTTCAAGCTCACCAAAATTATACAAAGTGTTGTTGTTTTGTCTTATATTTTGTTTTTCCATGTTTTAGGACAGCGGTCCCCAACCCCCGGGCCTCGGACCGGTACCGGTCCGTGAGTCGTTTGGTACCGGGCTGCGAGAGTTGAGGCTCAGGTGTGAAATGTATAGTTTTCAGGGTTTTTATCGGTTTTCAGCATTATTTTGTTATCGTTTTTATCGTTAACTCGGTTTTCCTGGGTCTTTTCATGTGTGTTATGAATAAATCTTTTTCGGTACTGGTACTAGTTTTATTTTGTTGTATTTATCCGCGACACCTTAAAGGCCGGTCCGTGAAAATATTGTCGGGCATAAACCGGTCCGTGGCGCAAAAAAGGTTGGAGACCGCTGTTTTAGGATACACAGCACATAGTTTCCATTTTCAAAATAAAACATGAAAATACACACACATACCTGGTGACTTTCTGGGGCAGTATGAGCTCATCTATATCATGTAGAGCCACATATTTGGACTGGTACATGTATCTGTAAAGGCAGTCATTGAGAGCGGGAATCTGACCAAAGTAGTGAAGTTCACCGGGACCAAGTGAAGGCTGCCAGTAACGAGACACTTTTAAATATCTAGACAGAGACCAAGGAATCACCTCCAATAAACCTGAGAAAAGATATTTGAAGCGGTTCAATGCCAGTAATTAAAGCTGCATATTACAACTACTACAACTCCAGCCGCAAACTGAAATCAGTGAACTGGTGAAACACATTCTGGATCTTTATGGTGAAGCAGATACATGAAAACCAAAAAAATGACCTGGTTTCTTTTGTCTCAGTTAAGAAGAAGAGGGTAACACGAGCAGCAACAGTGGCATGACTGAAAAAAGTCCTTAATGAAACAATTTAGTATTTTTTGGCTTGACTTAAAAAAAGACTACAACATAATCCAAGAATTTAAGGTTTCATTATTAGAACTGAACTGCTTGATTAAGTTAAAGGCTCTATTGTAGATAAATCCACAGAGAAGTATCAGTTCTTTTAGGTACTTAGTTTGGCTCAATCTTAATGTTTCCAGCTGCAGTAAGTGCCAGTTTCTTTCAAAACCTTCAGAGAAACACATTACACACAAATATAAATTCAGTTTATAACCATGCATTATAAGCATTAGAAACATATTTGCTGTGAGAACTCATGCAGTCTTAATACTGAGGCCACAAAACAGCTCCATGTGACCTGGTCAGTAAATTCAAAATACACAGGGTAATAAGTTTTTCTTGTCTAGACTCACTTGCACTAACAGTGGAAATCAGACTTTGTGGTCAGAAAAGGTTGGAGACATGGGAGAATCTGAAATATGTGCTTATCATCAACACACCTAGTTCTGAGGAAATTTTGGCAACTTCACTCAGTGTTCACTGTGGGAAAAATGTCTTTAACTGGTGATGTGAGGTCATTAGGAAAGACACACTCAGACAGAAAATTATACCATACTCCACCTTTTTGTGTGTAGTAGTCCAGTATTCGTTGTGTTTCAGGACTGCAGTTGGTCTTATAGACAACCACTCTGTTCACTCCCAGTAACTGCAGCATCTCAAGACTCTGTACCAGCTACAATCCAACACAGATATTTGAGAAGGTTCAGACAACTGCAAGTATTAATATGCAAGGCAGGCAGAAAAGTCTTGCTTATCATTATTATAATAGTAAGGAATACTGGGAGAAATATACATTTTCTGTTTTTATTTCTTCCTGTCATGGTCTGCATACTTTAGAAAACAAGTTTCAAAAATCTATTTTCTTCTGTCTTCTGAAAGCAAGAAAGCAAATGTCACTGTACCTGCAGCACGTTGGTAAAATTATACATGGTGGAGATGCAAACAGTGAAGTTGTAAGGAAAAGAATGAGTCTTCTCTTGCTGATTCTTCACCTCTAAAAACTCTTGGCTGGGATCATCTTAAGAGACCACACAAACATACACTTTTACCATTTCAATTTTGTAAATGAACTCCAATACTTTTTGGGTTAGATTATGTTAAACACGCATTTAAAATTGTTGACATTTTTGAGGTATCACTAATGTTATTGCCTGAATCTCATTTGTTCACAGGCTATTGACTAGATACTGATACATATGATTTAGTTGATATTTAACAAAATTAGTTGTTGGGGCAACACACTGTTAATCCGAATCCATCCATCCATTCGCTTCCGCTTATCCTTTCCAGGAGGCGCTGGAGCCTATCCCAGCTATGATAGGGCGACAGGCGGGGTACACCCTGGACGGGTCGCCAGTCTGTCGCAGGGCTAAAACACTTAATCTGAATCATCAAATAGAAAACAAATAGTTCACTTAAAATGTATTGAAGTTATTTAAAGTCTTTACCAGTGTTGGGCAAGTTACTTTGAAAAAGTAATTCATTATAGTTAATAGTTACTTCTTCAAAAAAGTAACTGAGTTAGTAACTGAGTTTCAAGATTCTAAAAGTAATTAATTACTTGAAAAGTAACTATTGCGTTACTTTAAAAAAAACAACAACATTGAACCCTCTGGGGTCCAGGGTATAATTGGCCATTTTTAACTACTTTTGATGTTTCCTCCACATTTCACCTTTAAAAACGATTTATTTGCCTTGTTTGGTCTCATCCTTTTCAGCACAACCTCACGTGTCTGAATTTACAGTTATGTTTTTATTTCGACATACTGTATTAACACAATTGATCTAAAATCAGACAAAAAACATAAAATCAGAGTAGAAAAAGTTATATTTTTTTTTACTGTAACAACCACAAACATGTTTAATGAATCATATTTTATAACTTTAAATGTAAATATAAATGGTCAATTTTAAAATCATATGCACAAGTTTTGCAAACCATAAAGTTATTTGCAGCATCTTTTACCTTTTTTTAAAATAACTATTTCAAACTATTTATATAACAATCAGCTGTTCTGCATTGATTAAGATGCCACACAAATTATTTGTGCCACTCCAAATATTTCTGTCCACTATAAAGGAGAACATCACAGCCTGATACCTGCAGGTCTGACAGCAGCAGGTGTATCACTCCTGTTTCTACCTGGAGACAGCAGTCGCCTCATTGTTCTCACACACAACACAAAACTATCCACAACACTACACACTAACTACACAAGACAACACATTAACTACACACTCCAAACACGCTAAACGTCACGAATCTCTCACATCTCAAAACTCGCTCTCTCTCTTTTTCTGTTGTCTCTCTCTCTCTCTCTCTCTCTCTCTCTCACCATCACTCCTAAATCTTCCTCCTCTTCCTAAACATCTAAATGTCATGATGCCATATCATTTTTGATTGGTCGACATGGTGCATTTTTCCACCTAGACGAAAGGGCAGGAGTTTTTTTATGTTGTTTTTTTGCTCATAAGCAGAGAGTGCTTGCTAGTGCTGTCCTAGACACGAAACTATTGAAAAAATCAATGAATTATCATGACTCTGGTTTTACGTGGTTTATCAACACAATTTATAAACTGGTATATGTCACCTTGTTGCTTTGTAATCTTGAAGTGGTCATGTGATTGGCTTACCACAACTACTTTATTCTTCCTTGGTCAAACAGCAGCACTCATGCCATTGTTTTTCCCCCTTAGCTTTAGGTGTTGTGCCAAAAAGTGATCGTCGGGCAGAAAGTGATTGCCGCCCATGGGAGCGCGCAGCTGCCGTAGCGCCCAGATTACTTACAGCTACTTCTGTGCATCTGATATAAGGTGCGGTAAGCTGAAGACAGCTTCAACCATCTGTTTGTTAAAAATTGTAACACGACCGCACCACAATTTTTTGTTAGTAACTGTAACGGCGTTGCAACCATAGGAATAGTAATTAGTTGGATTGCTCGTTACTGAAAAAACTAACGCCGTTAGTAACGCAGTTATTCCCATCACTGGTCTTTACCTTATATGTATTAACTGTTTATATTAGGTTATATCACTGTTATATCAGTGAATTGGGACTAGATGTCTATTTGAAATCCATTTAATATTTGCTGAGATATTTTAATTTAAAGCAAAGGCCTGACCAAGAGACTGGCATTGCCATAAGATGCTCCCCAGCAAGCTTAGAATTCTGCCATTTACCTGTAGAGTTGGCAACAGCGGAGGTCACAGCAATAGAAGATGGTGTCTCACAGCCTGAGGGGATGGGGCACATGATGTCTGCTGTCCCATAGGCAAAACCAAAGTGATCAGTGTGGATGTCGGCCACACTATTAGAGAGGAGCTGCTTCTCCTGGCAACGAAAGAGGCAGCGATAGGCCACCTTCTCACTCCGCAACACCAATGCAATGACACGAACCTGGCACAAGAAAGAGGCAGGAAAAGGCATGACGTTAATGGAAGGTAAAAGAAATTACAAGAGAAAACCATACTACTCAAATTAGTGTGAATATAAATATATAGGACTATCCTAAAATGCTTAATCAGAGTTGCACAACAACTTAAACTTTTTGTTAACAAGAACATCTCATGTTCACATATGTTAAGATGTAGGTAAATGTAGTTTTGGTTCCTGCTAACTCTGAATTTTGCTCACTTACTAAGAAATAAAGATAATTTAATTTTATAGAAGTTTCATTTTATATGCTGAATATCAAACAAAAATCCAGAACTAAAGTTAAATATACAATATCCAATTATTGACTGATAGCATTGTGTGTTGTTCTATCCCGGTATGGTTTTACTACGTTGGCCTAGTCTAGGACTTCTGTCACTACTCTCAAGTCACTACTGCGTAGACTCTGTTTTCAAAAATGCAACATGGCAGCCTCCACAAGCGGGATGTTTGGCTTTATTTTTGTAATAATTGGAAGAAGTGCTGTCATCATCCATGTTTTCTACAGTCACCGGCTGGGACCTGACAACAGCGCCACCTGCAGGAGGCTTCTGAGACCTGAGGGCTGTTTTTCTGAAACCTGAGAAGTATTCGGCCCCCTTGAACTTTTCCACATTTTGTCAAATTACAGCCACAAACATGAATCAATTTTATTGGAATTCCACGTGAAAGACCAACACAAAGTGGTGTACACGTGAGAAGTGGAACGAAAATCATACACCTTTCTTCTTTTGCTCTTGACGAAGGCGGTCACACTTTTCTCCTCTCCTCCTCTCCCTTAGCTTCCCTGCTTAGCCTCTTATGTCCTTGTCTAGTCTCGTGTTTTTTTGTATTACTTTTTCCCTAGAACATTCTCTCAGTCTGTTCTCTAAAACCTTAAAGAGGAATTATGGATTTGATCAACTGGTCCCTAAATGCAATTGACACCCTTTTCTCAACGTGAAGTCTGGGCTCGGGTGAGCCTGAGTGCCCTGGAGGTACTTTCCCTACCGGATACACGATGGACGGGTGGCAGAACTGGAGGATCGTGTGCCTGGCGGGACTGTTGATCGAAGACGCTGAAGATATCTACCTATTCGGAACCATGGTAACAGAATTCTTGCTGATCGGACCTGGCTTGGCCCTGGCTTATCGAAGAATTAAGAAAGTGGAACCGGCTGTTCAAACCCCCACAAGGCTGCCCGCTGGGATTGAAACGATGGGACGAGGCGCGACTTCTCAGAACGGGCTCTTTGAGTGCAGCACGGATAAGATCTTGGAGAAGCTTACGGCTGCCGTGAACACAAAATAAGACCTCTGAGCGCAAATTGGATCACATCTTGGAGAAGCTCACTGCGGTTGTGAGTTCTCAGAATCGGCTCTTTGAGCACAAGAATGACAACATCACGGAGCGTAAGGTTGATAACATCATGGAGAAGCTCACGGCTCTCCACCGGGAGATTGAGAGACCAGTGTCGAACTGTAGAACAGCTTTGAAATTCTCATGAGTTGTTTGCACTAAAGTAAAAACCACCATCACTTCATACGGCTATCCCTTCGATGCCAGCTGCAGTCTCAAGGCTGGAGCTGAACAACAACACCCTGATAATGACTGTGTTTAGACTGTTCTTCCCATTCCATGCAAGGCCACCTGGGTTGGCTGGTGTTTAGGGTTGCATCGTTTGTTGTCCATGTCATAGTTAATCATAGTCAGTCCTAGTTTATTAATTAATCCTAGTTTGTATATACTGAAGATATATACTAATGAAATCATAAAAAAGTGCTTTATTGGTAAATGGCGTGTATTTGTATAGCGCTTTACTCGTCCCTAAGGACCCCAAAGCGCTTTACACATCCAGTCATCCACCACACACATCCACACACTGGTGATGGCAGCTACATTGTAGCCACAGCCACCCTGGGGCGCACTGACAGAGGCGAGGCTGCCGGACACTGACGCCAGTGGGCCCTCTGACCACCACCAGTAGGCAACGGGTAAAGTGTCTTGCTCAAGGACACAACGACCGACACTGTCCAAGCCGGGGCTCGAACTGGCAACCTTCTGATTACAAGACAAACTGCCAACTCTTGAGCCACGATCGCCCAATTATTGTCAATTTGCTGTTAAATCCTAGCATTTTCTGAATTTTGTTGACCCTCAGATTTACATTTAGTATTGTAACCAACAGAGCGGTTTAAATAATGCAACATTTATCTTTTCACTGACCTCCTTTTTGTCTGTGCGATGTTCCAGATAAGCTGATATCAGAACGGTCTTTGTCCCTTTAACTGCTGCAAGAAATGCGTATGGTCTCTGAGTGTATGGTCTGTGGGAACCTCATTGGTGGAAAACAAAAAGGTTATTACAAATTTTTAATAATAATATCACAACTTTGGCACATAGGGATGTTTGGTCTAGAGGCTGCACATCCAAAATCATCATATTAACAGCTTTATTAGGAGCATTGTCAATGGCAGCTGCAAAGCTGTAGACTTAAAATTGAACATTGGCCTTTCTCCATAGAGATCTCTGGTACACCCCCATCAACTCCAACTTAAATTACAAATTTTAGGTCACAGTAAAGGTCAAAACTAACTAAAATAACTTCCAGTAACTTTTACTATAACTATATAACTTTTGGCAGTCATATTTTAATGCATGTATAGTCATATATATTTCATAGCAGTTCTGTATTTTCACCGAGGTAATCTTTATTTATTTTAGTTTTGTATCACCATGCATTGCATTGTATTTTTATGCAAATGAATAGATTTCAAATAGATTTATTGAAATTGAGCTAATAATTATGACACAATTTTTTAAAGTGTCATAATTAGTCTTTTGATGCTTCTTCTCCATTTATGTGCAGAAAACTTTCAGTTTGTATCTCCTGAGCAACGGCCACCACAGTTGAGGTTTCCTCACTGACGTAACTCTTTTAATAGTTTGCGGTGATTGGCCTGATCAGCCAATCTACTAAAACACACCAATGATTGGACAGAACTACATCCAAAACACTGATAATAGGAATCTAAAGAATGATCAGTAATACGAATGGGACCAATTACATTTTGTACCAAAAATCAAATATATCAAACAAAACATTAACATGAATTATAGTGAGATTTGAAACAAGAACAAATAAGTAAAAACATTATAATAATTGATAGCAATATCTAACAAGTAAAAAAAACATTGTTTTATATTTTAAAAAAAACCTTTCTAAAAAGACACTTAATATTTAAAATGTCACAATAGAGGGTTAAATAAAGATCAAAACAATAGAATTGCTCTAGAAAGATGAAACAATGATTTAGTGAGTGAGGAGGAAGAGGAAAGATTTCTTAAGAACATACAAGACGGCAAGACAAATATCTTAAAATAATGTGAAAATATAAAATGCAATGTAAAATCTTTTACATTGAGAAGTATTCAATAACAGTAAGCTTACCAGCATGTTCTGGACTACTGTTGTGAGTCATATGTAGCTCATCTAGAATTGGTGGGACTGTTCTATTGTACTTCCAACGTATCCAATGGTAGAATAATCCTGTGCTACAGAGGTAAAAAATGACAGGGTAATGAAGACATCCAGAACAGCAGCAGCTACCACAGTGTTGTTTTAAGTACTTTAATGTTATATAGTACTTTATACTGTCTGTCTGTCAGACAGGGTCTGCTTTTGAAACCTGTTTTTCAACAAAAGCATTTTTCCCCATTGTTAAAGTGCATTAAAAAGTTCAAGGCTAAATAACTATAACTGCTAAGGTAGGATCGTTTTGTTAATGGAGATATATTTATACAACTTTTTGTCCCACGTCCAAAATGATTGAACACTCAAAAAATGAAATCGGAAGTCCAACTTGTACTTTTTACAAAATATTTTCATGTTTCTATGGTGAACGTAAGTAAATCATGTAGTATCTGTATGAAATTCAACAACTTAATTTGTTCTTGTTGAGATGACATGATACAATCTAGTAAGAGTGGTTAGTTGCCTCATGAAATTCACCAGACCACACAAGATTTTAAACCACAGGAAAATCACCAGAGTTAGTTAGCTAGTTTGCCGTAGGCCTTCTGGTTTTCCACAGTTAAAAATTATGCAGTTGTTAGAGCTAGGTTAATTGCTCATTGTCCATGGGTACAGTCAGATCCATAAATATTGGGACATCGACACAATTCTAACATTTTTGGCTCCATACACCACCACAATGGATCCCAAATGAAATGAACAAGACGTGCTTTAACTGCAGACTCTCAGCTTTTATTTGAGGGTATTTACATCCAAATCAGGTGAACAGTGTAGGAATTACAACAGTTTGCAAATGTGCCTCCCACTTCTTAAGGGACCAAAGGTAATGGGACAGAATAAGAACCATAAATCAAACATTCATTTTTTAATACTTGGTTGCAAATCATTTGCAGTCAATCACAGCCTGAAGTCTGGAACACATAGGCATCACCAGACACCGGGTTTCATCCCTGGTGATGCTCTGCCAGGCCTCTACTGCAACTGTCTTCAGTTCCTGCTTGTTCTTGGGGCATTTTCCCTTCAGTTTTATCTTCAGCAAGTGAAATGCATGCTCAATTGGATTCAGGTCAGGTGATTGACTTGGCCATTGCAAAACAGTCCACTTCTTTCCCTTCAAAACCTCTTTGGTTGCTTTTGCAGTATGCTTTGGGTCGTTGTCCATCTGCACTGTGAAGAGTCGTCCAATGAGTTTTGAAGCATTTGTCTGAATGTGAGCAAATAATATTGCCCCTAACACTTCAGAATTCATCGTGCTGCTTTTGTCAGCAGTCACATCATCAATAAATACAAGAGAACCAGTTCCACTGGTAGCCATACATGCCCACGCCATGACACTTCCACCACAATGCTTCATTGATGAGGTGGTATGGTTAGGATCATGAGCAGTTCCTTTCCTTCTCCATACTCTTCTCTTCCCATCACTCTGCTACAAGTTAATCTTGGTCTCGTCTGTCCATAGAATGTTGTTACAGAACTGTGACGGCTTTTTTAGATGTCGTTTGGCAAACTCTAATCAGCAACAGGTTCCAAATGCAAACAGCACACTTGAAATGAACTCTGGACCTTTTATTTGTTCACTGTAACTGGGGTAATGAGGGAATAACACTCACCTGGCCATGGAACAGCTGAGAAGCCAATTGTTCCATTACTTTTGGTCCCTTAAGAAGTAGGAGGCACATTTGCAAACTGTTGTAATTCCTACACCATTCACCTGATTTGGATGTAAATACCCTCAAATAAAAGCTGACAGTCTACAGTTAAAGTATATCTTGTTCTTTCATTTGGAATCCATTGTGGTTGTGTATAGAGCCAAAAATGTTAGAATTGTGTCGATGTCCCAATATTTATGGACCTGACTGTATGAATGCAGGAGTGAATGTAAGTGCAAATGATTGTTTGTCTCTGTGTTAGCCCTGTGATAGACTGGCGACCCCTACCATGGTATAGGCCACAACAACCCTGATAAAGATAAGAGGATGGATGGAGTGGAAGTTGTTGTAACTCCATTGAAATTTTATGTTAACCAGAATCTAGACTTTGTTGAACATTATGTAATATGAAGACAACATGTGGTATTTAAGTGACGAAGTATTATTGGGGTGAAAGTTATTGAATAATATTGGAATACAGCGAATTAAAGAAAATTGTGAAGGACTGAAATATTTCAAGAGCTCAACTTACTCCATCTAAAAATGTTTCAATCATGTTTTATCAACACAAAATGCACAGATTTATTGAATATGAATAAATTGTGTTAATTTAACTCAGTTATTTAAGATGCTGCCAAAGCAAAACATTTGTGTGCAACTAATGTCCACTATTGAATTAAGCAAATCCAACATGTTCTTTTGTTTAGTGAAGAATGTCCACAACTTGTGTGTGTTTATATAGACAAGCCAAGCTCTAGCCTCTCTGAGAATCTGAAGTGTATAAATTCAAATGTGTCTCTCCATCGTAATGGAACCATTAGCATTTGTAAACCTAAAACTGTAAGAGTGGCTCCAGTAGATTCTAGGGTTTCTGCACAGAGGTGTCTGTCTGTGCAGTATTAGGAACAACTACAGATACTGCACAGAACCTTCAAACTCTCAGGCATCTGGTAGATACCATGAGTGGGGGTGAGAAGGAGATTTTTTGTCATAACACTTTTACACAAGGAAACCAGTCAAATCACAAACAGATAAAAGTACTTTAAACTTCACAGGGTTTTAATGTGTTTTGTGTGCTACTACACATTAAGGTGGCACTGTTTTTTTCAATTGTTATCCGTTTTTAAATGGATGAATAAAGATCCGATTACAACCAAACACTGCTGCAACTCCTGCTGACTCCTGTAATTTCACTCACTTGTAGATGTAATATATTAGATAGATGATGGCAATGACATAAATGATCCACATGAACTGTTTGATCTTCTGATTGTGGCCCATCGCAGAGATATTATTTTCTTTAGCTTAAATGCTTCTTTTCAGTCTGGATGGTGAAACCTGAACAAGCAAAAGACAATGAATGATTTTTATCTTTTATCAACTTCTTTTTTATCAACTCATCTAACTCATACAGGAAGGTGCTGCACATAGAGCAAACGAAGACAAATAACAGCATTTCTAGAAAAAAATGTTGAAGGAATAAGCATTTAAGGCATTTAACACACACATTGACTATACAAATCCAAAACAAATGAGAAACACACACTGAGATGCAGACTGATTAAACACAGGGAACACAGAGAGACAACAGAGAGCAGACTATAAACTGAACAAAATAATAAAAATAACTCCATAAAGAAAGAACAAGACCAAAAAATTCAAACCACATACAAATGTCACATGAACATTTTGTACCTTATAAAGATGAAAGCACAATGCATGTCAGAAAAAGCAACAATGACAAGTAAACCTGATGTAACTCATTGATGGAATTTCTTGCCTTCTTAATAGGGTTGGGACCATCACAGTTGTGTTGTGCAGAAGTTAGGTTGGTATACAGCTGAAAGCCCTATTTTATAATGTTAGCATTAATATTATGGTTAGAACCAATCAGCTAAGCAAAGATAAACGACAGTAGTGGTGTGTGATACTGCATATTTTGGTATTGATCCGATACAAAGTAAATACAGGCCAGTATTGCAGATATTGATACTTTTCAATAAATAAGAGAGATGCATCATCGAATTGCTAAATCTCAATTAATTTTCATGAGCTTAAGTGTTTTTTTGTGATGTTTCCTTTTTTATTATTAAATAGTTAAAACCCAGGACATAATTAGGCCAGAATTGATAATTAAATAAC